ATCGACCCTCTCCGTCAACTCTTGTCCTAGCGCGCCGACCTCCTCCGCTATAAATCCAGTCAGACGGGCATACAAATCATCACTGTATGTCGGAGATACACGGGGGAACGTGTTTGGACGAGGAAAAAGGAGATACCCTTGGCGATGGCAATGCCAATGGCGGCGGCGATGCCCTTGGCGGAGGCGATGCCATCGGCGAAGGCAATGCCAATGTCGACGAGGATACCCTCGGCGGTGGTGATGCCAATGGTGGCAACGATACCCTCGACGGAGGTGATCGTCGATCAGCTGGACCACTCTCCTACATAAATAACATTAAAAATTATTCAATAAATTTATACGTCGACGATATTCAATAAATTATATTTAATTCACATATCCAATCTCAGTCCAAGCTCGGATCAGACATCTCCTCGTCTTCTGTGTGCGGAACGCCTACATCCCGCACAAGACCCCAAGCCTCCTCTTCCATCGACAGCATCAACTCAGATATGACTTCAAGCTGACATATTGACATTTCAACTTGTTAACGATCATGTAAATAGATTTAAACTACGTATAATATAAATCACAAATGCATAATACTTACCTGAAGATCGTCGAGGAGGGACGATAACTGTTTCCCAGTGGGACATCCCTCCGCTCGCGACGATCCCCAATGATGCATCCGAGGGCATCGTGTCTCCCCTCGCTTCGCGAAGTGGGCTCCCAGTGCAGGGACTATCTCATACACCCAAATCTGCAACACATACACTTATTATGCATAAATGTAATATACTAAAACTTTAATTTTAATTATATTAAACATTTACCTGCACCGCTAAGGGCAACCCATATGTATCGTATTTATGCATTGACCCTCTGGGCCTCGAGTGTAATCTGGTGAAGACATGTACGGTGTCTTCGTAGCATCTCCAGCCCCATGGATAGTTGTTGAACGCATCAATGTCGTCAACAACTTCTAAATGAAAAATGTCGATGGCAATCTTCTTGTGATGACACCTCATCACACTTTCGAGGATGTAGACCAACCCAAGCTTCAATCTACCTAGATCTAGTCACACCCCTGATCGCGACCATCAACTCGGGTAGATGCACCAACCCATGTCCCTGGAAGTACGTCTCGTATAGCCTATTGCTTCTCGCAATGGCTGCATCGTCGCCCGTAATCCTCAGTCCAGTGATCAAGCTAAACTCATAAATCGAGAAACCGACGACCTTGTCCCCAGGTCGAAGTGGAGGGAATCGCCGTCACTGACCTCAAAAGCCGACATAGAAGTGCATCGATGATCTGTCCCGAGAACTGCACCTCTCGCATCTGGTACAGTGGCCACAAGAATGACTGTCGCAGCATATCTCCGTGATGATCATCAAGCAGCTCCAACACCGTAGTAAAACTCTCAAAACTACTGTTCCAAGTAACTTTCCCCGCCATCCGTCTCAACACCCCATCTAAATGATACTTCATCCTGCAAAAATTTACATGTTAGAATATTGAACAATAGATAATAAAGTAACGCATAATCTCAAAAAATCAAGGCAACCGTATTATAACTACCATACAATACGCAAGACATTGACGCTAATAATAAAATAAATTCAATGCAAATTTAAAAATTAAAATAATTTAGTTTATCTTGTATATTACATTTGGAAAATTTATTTACAAAAAAAATTCAAATTAAATACATTTAAAAAAAAAAAAGAATATAAATATTATTTAAATAAATTAGAACAAAATCAAAGATTATTTCATAAAAGAAAAATAAAAGGAACAAAATAAATTGTTAATTTCGGACAACATTATCTATTCAATTATTAAATTATATATAAAAAAAGGCAATTATAAAAAAAATTAAAATAATTATTATTTAATCAAATTAATCTTGTAATCATTTGGAAAATATATTTACGAACAAAAAATTTCAAATTAAGTACATTTTTAAAAAATTTAAAGAACAAATATATTATCTAAATAAATTTGAAAAAAAAATCAAAGATTATTTCATAAAAACAAAAATAAAAGGAACAAAATAAATTGTTAATTTTAGATAATATTCAATTATTAAATTATATAAATAAAAGACAATTATAAAAATTAAATAAATAACATAATTACTATTTAATCAAATAAAAAAATAAATTAATTAAAAAATTGATTAAAAAACAAATAAAAAACTAAATATATATATCGGTCTGGACCGACTGTTAACAGGCATTTGGGCTGCCTGTTAAGAGTCTGTCCAGACTGTTCACAGTCGGTCTAGACTGTTAATGGTCTATACTGACTGTTAACAGTCGGAACAGTCGTTGTCTTCCCTAAATCGAAATCGTCATTGTCGATGATAGAGAGGTCCAAAAATTACAAAATTCACATTTTTCACCCCATCATAACCCACAATCTAACTAGTTACTCATGCATAAATCTAATTAAACCGAATAAATGTAAAAATAATGGATGAAAAAACTGAAACTTTTAATAAACTTCGAGCGCGAAAACTAACCGGAATAGCGCCCGGTAGCGTGCAGGTCGTCGATTGAACGTTGGTGGTTTCGGCTGGTGGTTGATCGGTCGTTCTTCAGGCAACTGTGGCATTCATTTTTTTCGAAGGTTGGTCGGTTTGATTTTACTTTCTAACAGTCTGTATAGTGAAGGGGTAAAATCACCCTTTTAGTGTAAAGTTATATTTTTTAACTTTTTTTTTATTCATTTAATGGGTCAAAGGCCAATGTTAAAATTTGCTACAGTCCAAAGGTCATTTCCATGTATTTCCTCTAACAATCACCACCAATTGTCGGCAACCACCTACTTGTAGTAGAATTTGAATCCGGTCTATGACAATAGAATTTGCTTGGGTTTGGAAAGAAAAATCTTCTTCCTGCTTGACATCTTACTGCTGCTGGGTATTAGTAGAATTGCTTTTCCAATTAAAAGCCTGAAATGGAAGAGTACCTGTTGTTGGAGATGGTAAAATTTGCATATTTTATCACAAAAAATGTAAACATTAGCTTCAAGTGATGCCAAAAAAGTGTTAAAAAAAAAAAGGTGATTGGCTTCAATTGGAAAACTTTTTCTGTTTTGGATAGATTTTAGGGGGTTATTGTAGAGTTTTGGTCTCAGAAAGTGTCCAAAATGGAAAATGCTAGCATTTTAGAAGTTTATCCTAGCCCTCAGTTTGTCTTGTGATTTTATTACTGAATTTGTAGCTTTGATGTTGCAATATAGTGGCCTATCAGAAGCAAGACGATAGCGGATTTTGGATAATTTTCGGCAGGCTACTGGGAGGTGGAATTGAATGGGAAGAGATGAGGTTAATGGGGCAACAAAAAAGGAAGAAGAACAGCAATCCCATTTGGTTATTGTCACAGATGCTTGCCTTCCCCTTGTTGGCTCAGGGGTGGGGATGGGTAGGAAGGAGGGCATGAACAGTGATTGGCTTTTATTTTTTGTTTGTTTTGTTTTTTTTTTCTTTTTTAATATTAATTTAAAGTTATAATTTTACCCCTTCTGAAATTGTTAAAAGTTAATTTATTGAGTCAACTAACGATCAAATTAAAAGAAATCATCCATTTAGACCACAAGTGTTTTTTAAAGTTTTGGTACTCATGGTGGTACAAATAAAAGGTTTGGGCAAACTCTGCTAATAAACGAAAGGTTTGATACCGCTACTACAATTTTCCCTAAAATATATATGAAACACAATCAATTGAAATATATCCCAAATCCTAAATAACAAATTTCACATGAGAATAAAAAAATTGAATAACGCTGAAAATAAAAGTTCATAGCCATGTTATTTCGGATTTATTTTTATTGAATCCCATAATTTTTGGCATCACGACTGCACCGTATCGCCCGCCAACCAATGACCCGTTCTGATCTGAGATGAATAGGAAAAAGGGTGAGTACATGAGAATACTAAATAGGACACGAAAAATCATGATGCAATCTCGAATAAAAGTATTTAAATACATGTGTTAAAAATATCATACCGTCATTATATCTTTAGAAACCGATAAGCTCAATAAACATCATATCTTTGGTGTCAGATGGCTATAACATACATATCATATCTTTAAACTTTCATAAGCATAATAATTCAACAACATAAAATAAATAATTTAAAGGGATAAAAGCAATAGTACCTTGTTACCCTATCTTGTTAGATTGCTTTAATTTTTCTGAAGACCAAACTAAAAGAATTATGTTCACTTAATTCTTTCTGTCTCTCCCTTGTTTTTGCATATACATACAATGTAGAAAAGTTATTGCCTTCATAAGTTATATTATATTATATGATAAAACTATATAGAAAGTGGGATAAGAATATTAGACTTTGTATAGAAGATGGCATGTTTCAAGCACACGTCTCTATCATCTAAAATTGAAATATTCTCCAACAACTTTATGGGACACATGACTTGCTATAAATTTACACCAATATTTTATATAAAATAAAGTAACAACTAATTGATAACCTATTCAACAATCTCAATCCAACCCATATATGGTAACCATTCAAATTAACTCTTAAAGAAAACAAACTACTAACTCAAACCACCTTTTCCATTTGAATTTCAAATGTCCTTACTCCCAATTTAATATTAAATATGTATATTTTTATTTATTTACATACCAAATAATAACAACTTCTAAAAATTATAGTATCTCGGGTCTAACTTATCCGATTAAACTTTTTATGGAGCCTAATATTTATCATTACTCTATCAATATTTAAATATTTGACCCCATTTAAAAATTTAATTTAATATATTTATCATTTTAATCCCCCAACTTTTCAATTTGAAAAATATAGTGTATAAAATAAATAAATTCTAGTATGTGAAAACTTTTGGGACTTTACTTTTATCCTTGATAGTGATGCTGTTCAATTGTCTACAATCTACGTAAAATCTCCAAGTAACATCCTTCTTTTTAACCAAGAGTACATGTAATGCGTAAGGGCTATTACTAGGCTGAATTATTCCACTCTCCCTCATCTCTTTAAACATCCTATCAATCTCAGCCTTCTGTATGTGTGGACATCTGTAGGGCCTAATCCTAAATGGTTGTTCCCCTTTTTTACGGGTATTCCGTGATCATTGAATATGTTTGGAGGCAGCCCCTTAGGTTCTGAAAAAACCATAGAGAACTGGTTTACCATTGCTTGTAGGGTCAGCAGGAGTTGTTTCTTAAAAAAGGTTGAACCCCAACCTTGATCTGAGCCACTACCCATGGAGCTGTGATTCCTGAACCACTGCTTATCTACTTTATCACCCATCATCCTGGTTTTTCTTTAATTGTGTCACAATTCAACTCCATCTCTTTGCCCTCATAAGTGAAAGTGATTTTTCCTCTACTAAAATCAAACACAGGGTTGAATTGACTTATCCATTCACTCCCAATACTATACTGTTCCCTCCCAGTTTCAACACCCTCAGTTGATATTAGAATTCCAGGCCTTGTATCTCCTAGGTTGATGAATTGCAGATGGCCCTACTAATCAGCTTATCTCCTCCAGCTACTGTGATAGAGGTAGGCTTAATCTTTTCCATTTTGCATTGAATGCTTTGGGCTAATAGTTCATCAATAAAACTGTGGATGCTCCTACTGTCAATTAATATGGATACTATTATCCCTTTAATTCTTCCAGGCAACCTGATCGTTGTAGATCTGTTGCTCCCTACCAATGTTAGGATAGAGATTTCTATCACTTCTTTTGAATTTTCCTCCACTACACACTCTTTCATTTCCTCTTGCTTCATTAGGATCCTCCTCACCTTCTTCATCCTCCAGTATAAAGCTTAACATCTTATTCTTGCACACATGATCCCTATTATATTTTCATCACATTTGTAGTACATTCCCAACTCTCTTTTTGTTTGAAAATTTGAAGGTATGATGGCCTTAAATTTCAAGGGGTTGGTGAAATTTTTTGGATTGGGTTTTGCACTAGAGGTGGGTTTATGAATGGGATCCAGAGGTTTATTATTGAAGTGAGTTCATTTGGATTGTGGGTAAGGCTTGTATGTCTTGGCCTCTCTATTTAGATTAGTTATGGTATTTTCCTGTAGGATGGCCACTCAAAAAGCATTGGCCAATGTAGTAGGTTTGATGATCTTCACAATTGGTTTAATTTCCTCCTTCAAACCACTGGTGAAGACAGATATATAGTAGGCTTTAGGAAGATGGGGTAAAGTTAACATTACCTGTGATTTTAATTCCTCAAAGTGCTCTTGATACTCAATGATGGTCCCATTTTGCCTCAATTCGCTGAATACCTTAATCACTTCTTCAGCTGTTTTCTCAGCAAACCTCCTACAAATCTCCTTGGCATTTAATGCACCCTACTAGCTGTTTGATGGCTAGAGATAAAGCCATGGAACCAAACATCGGCCTTACGCTTCAGATACATTTAAACAATCTCCACTTTCATCTTGCCTTCTACCCGATGAATCTGGAAATACTAGCTTGCTTTCCTTAGCCACTCTTTAGGCACTTATCCACTAAAATAAGGGAAGTCTATTTTGAGTAGATTGGTAGCCAATCTAATCTCTCGATTTCCATTGGTGTAACTAGAATGAATTTCATTCACTCTAAAGCTACCATCACTGGTATGAGACAGAGACCCATATCTTTTAGCTCATTTTTCTTTACGATTAGCCTTACTCCCAGTCAATTAATCAAACAACTTGTAGCATCTGATCATTCGCTCTAAAAGCTACTCCCAAATTTGCTATGTCCTTGTCCAGTCTCTTAAGGTGCTCTTCATTAGATTTGCTTCTAGTACCATAGCCAAATTACGTAGCTGTTGTGATACCAAATGTTATGGTTGAGGTTGATTCTCAACCAAATCCAACAATTCTAGTGACAATAACTCAGAAATTGAAAAGGAAATTCAACACTCATTATATTAATTGCAATAACCAAGTCAATTACAACAATTAAAAGGAAATGAGAGAAGATAAGAACAAATAGAAGAAGAAGAAGAAGAAGAAGTTTAGAAAGAGAATTCAGAAAGGAGATTTCACACTGATCATCAATTCACGCACATCTCCCTCTCCATCTTTACTGTTATATCATAATGGAAAAACACTAGAAAAAAGAAAAAAACTATGTTTTGCTTTATTACAATTTTAAAAAAATAAAGAAAATCAGAATGACACCGTATGCTGCCTATTCAAAATATGTTAGCTGTTAGTGACCATTGCCTCTTCTTCCTTCTTCCTTTGTTTCCTCTCAAGAATGCTTCTCCTCTTCTTTCTTCCCCAGGCTTTATTTGATAGTGGCTTGTCTTCATAACATTATTATAATTTTATTCAATCTTTGGTCTTTTAGATTTTTGGTTTTTGACTGAGCTTTACTGATAATTAAGCATTTGTTATAAAACTAAATGAAAAAGAAAATAAGAGAAGAAATAGAGAGTCAAAACTTAAGTGTGTATTATTATGAAACAATGTCCTATATTTATAGCATCCAAAATAAGAATTACAATTGAAATGAAGTAGATCTTCTAAACTAGATAAGACTTATCTATGTTTTATAATAATACTAAATAATCATCAATAATTATCTCATTATTTTACAATTCTCTCCCTTTGATGATTATTTGTAAAATAACTGCCTCGTTAAAAACCTTGTTTAATAAAAACCTAGTGGGCAAAAATTCAAACAAAGGAAAAAAGAGTACAGCTAACTGTTAATATTTTGGAGTATAAAGGAAATGCTGCCTCATTAAAACCTTGCTAGAAAAACTCAGTGGAACAAAACCTAAACTAAGAAAAAAGAGTACAGCTACTCCTCCTGATAAGAATCACTGAAAATCTTTGAGCCGACGAAATCCAATCCTTTGAACCAATTTCTTGAGTATAGATATTGGCAATGCTTTTATGAATAAATCAACCACACTATCACTTGAGCGAATTTGTTGAATATCGATATCGCTATTCTTTTGAAGCTCATGTATATGAAATAATTTTTGAAGAATTATACCTCGTCCTGTCGCATTTGATATAACCTCCTTTAAGTTGTGCAATACAAGTTGCATTGTCTTCATACAAAATTGTTGGACTATCTTTTGTTGAAATTAACCTGCATGATACTTGGATATAATGGGTCATGTTTCTCAACCATACACATTCTCAGCCTGCTTCATGAATTGCAATAATTTTAGAATGATTTGAGGATATAGCCGTCAAGGATTGCTTTCACAGATCTCCATGATATGGTTGTTTTTCCACATGTAAATACATAACATGTTTGTGATTTAGCTTTATATGGGTCAGATAGATAATCTGCATCTTCATATCCCACTAAAGCAGATCCTGACTTTTGAGAATAAAATAATCCAAAATCAATTGTACCCTTAAGGTAACAAAAAATATATTTAACACCATTCAAATGTCTTAGAATTGGTATGGAGCTATATCTTGCAAAGAGATTTACAGAAAAAACTGTGTCAAGTCGAGTGCAATTTGCAAAATAAGTGAATGCTCCAATTACGCACTAAGGTATGATATTTCAGGACTACAGATATTTTCTCCATTTTCAAGTGGATAAAATGTATCTTTTTTCACATCAAGTGATTTAAACAACCATAGGTGATGCCAATGGATGTGCATTATCTATATAAAAATATTTTAAAACTTTTTCTGTATACGTAGATTAGTGAACAAATAATCCATCTGCAATCCGTGACAAAATTTGGTTTTTCTCAAAAATCCTTCATCTCAAATTCATTTTATAAATAATCTGCAATTTTGTTGAGCTCTTCACGAGTTTCAATTAAATTTAAATTATCAATATAAACTGTCACAATTACAAATCCAATACCTATTTTCTTTATGTAAACACATGAGCAAACATCATCATTTTTATAACCCTCATTCAACAAATATTCCCTAAGACGATTACACTACATGCGTCCGAATTATTTCAATCCATATAATGATTTTGGCAATTTAATTGAGAACATGGTTCTTGGACTTGTATAATTTGTTCCTGGCATTTTAAATCCCTTAGGAACTCTCATATATATGTCACTATCAAGTGAATCGAACGAATAGGCAATTACTCTATCCATAAGGCGCATATCAAGCTTTTGTAACACAGTCAAACTAATTAAGAATCTAAAAGTGATAATATCCATTACGGGAGAATATATTTCCTCATAATCAATTCCTGGTCTTTCTCTTTCATACAAAAATCCATTTGTATCCAACAGGGGTTACATTTTCAAATGTTCGAAATACTAGTCCAAACACGTTTCATTTCTCCAAAGAATTCAATTTCACCTGTATGACTTCTTTCTATTTGAGCCAATCATTTTTATTTTGACAGTCTTTAACTAACTGTGGTTCAAAATCCTTATTTTGCATAATATCAAGAGTCACATTAAAGGCAAAAATATTGTCTATAACAATATTATTCCGTTCCCATAATTTATGAGATAACATATGATTTATTTCATTATTTTCAAATATTCATGCTCTTTAAGAATCATATCTTTAATATTTCATTGATCAATCTTTTCTAATATTACTTCTTCTAAAGTTTTTGGTTGATTTTTCTCTCGTGCCTTTCTTTTTCGAGGCATAGAATCTTTTAAACCACTGGTCAACCACGCTTCTGGCGTATTTAAGATTCATTTGCCGTAGCAAATTACCTCACAGGGACATTAATTTTTGTCGGAATATTTTCTATAGAAATATATGATTGACACTTACTTTTTTCAACAAATATATCAGGTAATTGATTTGTAACTCTTCGGAAATAAATTATTTTTTCAACCTCATCTAGGGTATAAGAACTTGTTATGTCTAAATACTCATTATATGCCACCTTAATGTGATCATCTTTGCTAATTGTTCCATCTTCGTTCGAAGATTTTTTTTTATTAGAATCAAAATATAATACTATCAAATTGTCCTCATATTGCATCAATTTGTATTGGAACATTAAAAACTTATGCGTGAGATAATATTGTTTATCTCTTTGATTAATAAATGCATCTTAATAAATTATATTTTGAACTTCTGGTTCGCGTGGTCTTTTGCTAGAATTTAGATGATGATGTATTTATACATTATTTTCAGCTTCTTAATTCTCCCTAATGCTGATAGAATTGTCCAATCAAGTTGATAATCAGTAAATCACTATCAAAAATCACCCATTTGAGATAATGTTTAAAACTGTGCATTTATTCTTAGCATTCTTCATTTTCCATCTCAATGTATTGAAGTGGTTCAATTTTACATATACTGCACTATCAAACTAATTAGATGGAAAAATTGGGCTTGACCATAAGCCAATTATAATGGGAGAACTATGATATTTGCATGATACGTAATAGAATTCCTTATATAAAAATGAGAAGTACTTTGTCCTCAATCAATTTGAAGAGTTTAACAAATAATAATATTAAACAATTTATCCCAACCAACACTTATTAAAATGTTGAGATTTATATCCACTGGTATTAACAAGACACGATCTTGATTATATAATCTGAAAATTATTCTCACAATTTAGAATTT